GGCATCGTCGTCCGGACCATTCAGAAGTCAAGGGAACGAGTAATTCCACTGGACGTATTATTATCATAGGCCACGATTCAGACTCTGAACTTACATGTAGCAACTGCGATTTTATGTTTCCATACACTGTCCATAGCACCTGGAGATATCTTGGCCAAGATCTCCAGCAAGTCGCCTTTTACGAGGTTTGCCTCAGCCATACATCGGGCTACATCGAGTATATTGTTCTTTGTGTCAACAAACTTGAGCCATTTCTTGAGATCCTTGAGACACAAAAGAGCATCGCGTCCAAGGGAATACGTTCCGTCGTCGCCAATGCCACCAAGCTATGTGGACGGATGGTCAGCAGTGTTTGTATGGCAAGACGGATGACATACAGCAGAGATGAGACTGTACACATGAGCACGAGTCTCAGGGTCTATAGGATCTCGCGACCACTCATCCAGCGTTGTCTGCTGCATTGTTGTGGTAAATCACCGTTGTCGTCGTCGTCACCGTCGCTGCTGCTCTGCTCGTCTCCGCTGATCTTCCTTGGACGCGTCGCGCGCACGCGTAAAGTGTCGCCCAAACGGTGCAAATGTGCCAAGTCGCGGGACCGCAGCCGTCTCCCGCCCTCTAACGTCATGCCTCGGCTGCGGCTTTCATCGGCCGTGCGCGAATCGAAGATCCAACATCACATGTCGGTTTGAAGTTTGAACCTCACAACAAGAAAGTAATTTTGTTCCCTACAGCAACACAGTTCGTGTATTGTTAGATTCGTAATGTTCTCCGCGGCATCAAGACAGATAGCAAGAGGCGCTGTGCGCCAGCAATGTCGCACTTTTAGCTCTACACCCTCAATTGGCGCTGCCGCTGAGGTCAAGAAGCTGGGTGTCATTGGAGCAGGACAAATGGTATAATGCCCCACAAACACCAGAAAGAAGAGCAATCAACTCACAAACCCAGGGCCTAGGCATTGCCCTCGTAGCTGCCCAACGCGCTTCCCTCCCCGTAACTCTCATCGACACCTCAGAAGCCTCGCTCGCAAAAGGCCTCTCCTTCGCCGACAAGCTCCTCGCAAAAGACGTCTCCAAAGGCCGCCTCTCCCAATCCGACGCCGACGCCACACGCGCACGCCTAACATCCAGCACCACCCTATCCTCCCTCTCAGACGTCGACTTCGTCATTGAAGCAGTACCAGAGATCCCCTCGCTCAAACACGACATTTTCGCGCAACTCGCGCAAATCTGCCCCCCACACGCCATCTTGGCTACAAACACGAGTTCCATCAGCATTACCAAGATCGCCGCCAGTACGACCAAGGACCCTACGGATCTCAGCGCAAGCAGCAGGGTCATCAGTACGCACTTTATGAACCCTGTGCCTGTCCAGAAGGGTGTCGAAATCATCACCGGGCTGCAAACTTCGCAATCGACAATTGACACCGCCATTGAGCTGTGCACCCGCATGGGCAAGATTCCCTCGCAGTCAGCGGATAGCCCTGGATTTCTTGCAAATCGCATCTTGATGCCGTATATCAATGAGGCGGTGATTTGTCTGGAGACGGGTGTAGGCAAGAAGGAGGATATTGATAGTATTATGAAGAATGGGACTAATGTGCCCATGGGACCGCTCCAGTTGGCGGATTTCATTGGCCTGGATACTTGTTTGGCTATCATGAAGGTGCTTTACGAGGATACGGCGGATAGCAAATACCGGCCCGCTGTGCTGTTGAGGAAGATGGTGGATGCGGGATGGTTGGGTAAGAAGAGTGGGAAGGGATTTTACGATTATCAGTAGAGTATCACATTCGACAAGGGAAGCAAAAGTATGGATAAGAGAAATGATCATATCCATGTCATGTCATAACATATCCAATTATCATGTCAGGGCAGTTGCAAGATGGGTCCAAATCTTTCCTTTGTTTTTCAAAATACGCATCCATAATTTGTAGGTCGTCCGACTCCCAAGACTGACCGACTAGCGCTTCAAACCGTCCCATTGAGCCTGCATTCCTAATCCGATGTAGTCAACGCATCATCCTCTTCCATTTTCAAACGCCTAGCAAACGAGCTTGTATACTTCTTCCTCCAACCCGGTAACTTGTTCGGCTCCTTGTTGTACTCCTTTACCAGCTCCTCCTCGGGTAATCCAGATTCTAGCATTGCCTCACGGCCCCTGTCGATACGATCTTTCTCTCGAGACGAGAAATTTTGCCATGCAGAGTGCCGTACTGACTTGCTCCTTGTTATGGCTTTGTTGAGCTGAAGTTGTAATTCGGCGGATGAGGGTGAAGAGGGCAAAGGCGGCCTGTAATACTCGTCCAATCTCTTGTTTTCCTGTCTGCTCGACACAGAGGTGTTGAGGACCGGAAAGGCACTTCGCAGTTTGTCCACGCGTGGGGACCGATTGATGCGCGGCTTGATGAAATTGGCTTCCGGAACAGTGAGACAGCTCGTGTAATGCCTCAGTAATTTATACTGGTACGCCTGTTTGATCTCTGATTTGCTGGGGAATGGCCTTGAAAGTTTCGACCTCCAGCGCCTAGCATATGTTATCCGAACCTTCAAAATCCTTTGTTCCTCCTTGGTGGGTTCTTTGTATGGAATAGTGATCCGTAGAGGCTGAAGCTGAACCGGGGGGCTGGCTGGTGGTGTGTATATCATGCTTCGCGAAGTACGCTGTCTCTTAGGGTCTGGCTCTGGGTTTCGGCTGGCCGAGTCGGGTGGTGTGCAGATGTCTTCCACACATCGCTTCAAGCTGCTCGGAGACCTTGCAAATTTAGATGCTGTGTTTGGTGTGCAAATCGCAAGGGAGGCCAGGCCCATAGATTCAGGTGTGGCAACGCTCTGCCGTGGGTGTGGTATACCCATGATGAGAAATCGACTGCGAGAAAGGAGAGTGTTGGTGGAGGTTACTGAGCCGTTGGTCTGTCATATAATGTTGGCAGTCGCTAGCGTGCCAATCTTATACATCAGCCTAGAGTATCACCAGTAATTGGCTTACGCTAAAGAGGGTGGTGAACAATAAGTGAGTGGTATCGCAGCCTACAGCAGGTTAGCTGTTGCGGTGAGATCAGATGCTGTTGTAGTATCTAAGGGGACGTTCTTGCCTCAAAATGAATAGAGACAGCTTGTGCGAATCGCGCCTACCCTCTGCTATGATCCAAAAAAAAACTCCTCGTTGGGCGTGCTTCGTGACATCTGGAAGGAGCCAACAATGCCTTTATTTTGTTAGGACAAAAGATTCATGTGTCTGGTACTGAGCCTGATGAGCGAGAGGCATCGAGCAAATGCACAATATGAGTGAAGTTCGTCCCATTTCGCAGGATTGTGATGTGATGGAAAGCTCTGGCATATCTTCTTATCAATGACTTGAGTATTACATGCTAGTATCAGCTTTAGCCTCACGTAGTCAAAGTTGCTTGACAGATATCTAGGTATTCACCTCAACTACAGCCACTAATTCTCTCACGTGAAACTATCAGCCCTCTTTGGCTTGATACATCCAGCTAAGACCAAGCCACCTTCACCCTCGCCCCTACTCCTCCTCGCTTTCATCACCTTCCTCCTCAATCACCTTTAGGCAACCGCATGGCCATTGATCCAGCCTCTTCCCAGGGTATTGCTTGACATACTCCCTGTACCAAGGTTCGAGGGCCCTGAAGTCCTGGATAGCCTGTGGGAACACTGACTCCCCATTTGGATGTCTCCGGCTAGCCTTCCACTTAAGGCCCATGTATGTCTCAAAGTTTCTGGCGTCTTCAGGCTCACAGTCGTGGCCTTGGCCAGTCGCTCGATCCGGGTCGTTATCGAACTGGCCACCTGGGCCGTGCCTACCGTCCTTGAGATATGGCCTAGGGATCCGCTTATTGTTTGGACGGCTGTCAAAATTCCGTCTGGTGACCGTTGTCGAATGTAGAGTGAGGTGACCGCGCGCACCTTGTGTGACGGTGATCACCAGGTGCTCGTCTTTGCTCGGCCCGAGCAAGGCAGTTGTTGCAGTCTCTGCATTGCTGGAATCGAGGCCTATCTCTTGAAGGAAGGTCTTAAGATCTTCCTGATCTTCTTCAGGTGTCTTGTGACCTTTCTTTCCTCCGATCTTGCCCATCGGCCTCGACGATTTGGATAAATCGGGTGCCGGTGGTCGCGATTTGGCAATTGTCGGACTCGTCAATCCCGCGCTGCCTTGCGTGCTGAGCACTGGCTTTTGCCCTTCTGCGAGTTTCTGGTTCTGCATCTCTCGATGTACCGTGCCATTTGTAGCTGCTAGCCACATTAGTATTCATGCGTTCACATATATTCACCCATGTTTGACTTGCCTGTTTGAGCCTCATTCGTTGGTCTTCTACGGGCTGCCTGCAAGTTTGCTACATGCTCATATTTTTGCTGCTTCGCATCCCGCTTTGCATGCTCATTCTGATCAGAGGTTTCTTCAGCTGCGTGTTTTCGCTTCTTTGGCAGAGACGCGTAGATGTTGTTTATCGCCTCCTCCAGACCGCTATCATCGTTAGGAATCTGGTTCAATCCCTTCTTGCTTTCGGAGTGCGGACGCTGGTCGGGATGCATAAATTCGCTCATTGCCCAATCAGCCCCTGCAGAATCAAATGAGTTTAGATGTACATCAATCGGAAGTATGTTTTACTTACGCGTGAGCTTGGTAGTTGGGCTTGCACCGAATGCGAGGGTCTCTGCCATCTCGATCCAGTTACCTATGAAGGTCTTGGTCTTGTTTTCGTTGATGAACTGTTGTCTCTTCATCGAGCCCGCATAGCTCTCAACTATGTCTAGTGCTGCTTCAATACTCTTGTTGCGGAATGTCGTAGAAGCGCGAGCGTGTTGCCGTTGCTTGCTGCCCTCCTTATGCAGTAGAATCCTGATGCCATAGCCTTCATGGTGCTGTTGGCCAGCCGCTGGCACTGCCTTGGGCTTGATTGGAGCCTTCGACTTGGAAATTCCGGCGGCTCGCGGTACAAGAGCGCTACGCCCAGCATTATCTGCTTCTCTTGCTTTGCCTTTTCCTTTGCTCTTGCCCTTCTGTTGAGCCAAGCTATACTCCAGGGCTACTGCGTCGTCAATGATGTTGGTTTTGCGACTTTGCGTGCCATGCGTATCCATATTTGCTGTATGATCTGTAGGATAGATTGTTGTGTGAGGAATCAAGAAGTAAACGGAAGTTAAGACAATGGTGTTGTGTAAGTTGCGGGCGAGATTGACTTGCAGGTTTGGCTAGAGTGAGACTCAGTGCAAAATGTGAGAAAGGTCTACAGTTTCCATTGTCAACCAAAGTCTTATGCATAGGATCCGAAAGTAGCGCTAGCCGTTCGTCATTCATTCACAGAATGGGCATGAGCGGTCGAGAGTCGGCTGCGGTGTCCAACATATGGCGCGTTTGGCTGCCAAACGCCGCAACAAGCGCGTTCACTGCGTCGAAAAGCCATGTACAATAAAGAAGTATTGACTGCTAATAAACAAGGATGATCTAAGAGAAGAATAGATTTATTTTAATAAAGAAAGATTACGAAAGAAGATGGATGAGAAAGGACGGTGGCCCAGTCAGCGAAAGAAACAGTCGACGTCTTCACCTGACATGGGATCCCCACCGACACGTCACCTGAGTGTAGAGAGGGCCTTTGATCAGCTCTCTTGTAGAAAATAGATACTGGCTAAGAAAAAGGGTCTCCACACCGCGACAGTGATTCATATCGGACTACAAGAATGTTTGGATGGCTCATGTTGATGAGACTTTCATCTGTTGGGGGCCCGAAGCTGGGCAGTTGTGTAGGTGTAATCATCGTGGTGATTCGTAAAGTATAGAGTTTACGGCCTCCATCTGCTACTATATTTTTTTTGGGGGGGGGGGTTCATGACTACGAGAAGTGTTCCGTCTCGCGTTGGAGTGTTGATGTTGGGCCTTGGCGAAAGGATGGTGCCGACGCACGTGTTGATGACTAACCCACGCGTGCGGGCCGACTGCGGCAGTGAGCCTTTGGCATGAACAGAGCGGAGCCGAGGCACAACGACCTCCTCCCATTCCGTTCATCCTTCGCGCGACTCCCAGCCGAGCCAACGACCAGCTCTTTTCCATCGCCATCTCTCGATTACGCGTGCTGTGTAGCATCGCATCAAGATACATCCAACATGGTCCGCGAGGACATCGTAACGTCTGCCGTCTCCTGTATGTCTTCACACGTCATCCGTCATAACATATGAATGCATAGCTAATATCGCGTACAAAAGTCCTCCAAGATCCGTCTGTCGCGAGCGCTCCCCTTGAGAAGCGCATAGCCTTCCTACAATCGAAGAACCTCACCCAAGAAGAAATCGATGTCTCCCTCGCACGCGCAGCCGAAGATCCCAGCCTAGCCGCCGCCTCACCGCAAAGCTCCACACCACCCAGCAATGCATACCGCCCACCGCCGGCCGCCCCAGCTTATGGCAGCTATCCCCCTCCGCAAGGGTACTGGCAACCGCCTCCGCCCCCAGAGTAAGACTGATTCGCATTCTCGCCCTGAGATCATTATACTGACATCAACAAGACCTCCGAAACGCGACTGGCGCGACTACTTCATCATGGCAACAGTCATGGGTGGCGTAAGCTACGGTCTTTACTTCACAGCAAAACGCTACATAATGCCATTGATACAACCCCCTACACAGCCCCAACTAGAGCAAGACAAGGCATCTGTCGACGAGTCCTTCAAGCGCGCCTTCGATCTTCTGGACCAGCTGAATACGGACACCTCCGCACTCAAAGCTTCTGAAGAGGCCAGGACTTCTAGGTTGGATGTTGCTCTCGGTGAAGTGGAGAGTGTACTGGCGAGCTTGAAGGAGTCATCAAAGAGGCAAGGAGACGACAACAGGCGTATCGAAGATGATGTACGAGGACTACGTGACTTGATTCCTAAAGCCCTGGACGCACAGAAAGCGTCGACAGATACCAGACTGAAAGAGCTCTCAACTGAATTGAAGAGTCTGAAGACCCTCATTGGCAACAGAATGGGTTCTGGAACTGCGCGTCCAGCAAGCACCGCTCCGAGCTACTACGGAGCTGGTCAAGCACCGAGCCAAGCATCAACACCGAATGTTAACGGTCCCGCATCCAATTCGACAACCACACCTCAACCTATCTCGATACCTACACCCAGTGAGCAGACCAATGGCACCAATAACACCGAAGGCCAAGCAAGCGGTAGCGCAACCTCTGCTTCCGCATCAACCCCGGCTGCTGCGCCGGCATCGTACAGCAGACTGCCGGCCGGTCGAGCTGCGATCCCAGCTTGGCAAATGGCGGCTGCAAAGAAGAGTGAAGAAGCAAAGAAGGACACTAGTGAGAGCGGTACAGCAGTTGACGCTAACGCCAGCGCATAGGATGGGTACGGCTGTGTCATATGATATTAATATCGTTGCGTTTTGGCGTCAATTTCGTTGTGCATGTATTAATATACCGCCACGTCCTTAGGATATCCTCGAATTTGGCCAATAGGTTGCGTCCGCATTTGATGACTGATAGAGACTGGCGTAATTGAGACTGGCCAGTGAATTACCCTATTTCTTTGCCAGTGCACAACTCCAAAAGACAATTTAAATATGCAGATCTGAAGTTACCCAAACAATATCTTCTCGTCCGTCAAATGTCGCAATACTTCTTTGTATTGCAAGTGTAACATCGGTCAGATCAGCGACTAGTCCAAAAGGGAGATCGAAGAGCTTCTGTCGCGATGTCACAACTTTTCGCTATGTTCAAGTGGAATCTACTGTATATATCCAAAACTTGAGCAAATGCCAAACGAGCGAGTCTACAAATTCCATCATCTGCAATAGCTCAGTCCTGCCTAGTGTCCCGCCTTCCCCGATAACCATACACGAAAAGCCACACATGCATCCTGCTCGCCAAAAACCGTCGGCCAGAACTCGAATGTGCCTAGAAATACGCGAATCGCCGAACTCATCCCGAAATGCTGCCCTTTCTTCATCACATGCCTGACACCCACTTCTGTCAAGTTACCAAGTGGTCGACACTATGACGCGCGTTTCAAACCCGCGCCCACGGAATCTTGTGCGTATACCGGTAATGTTACTGGGCCAGTTTTTAATTCTCTTCAGCCGGGTCAAGACGCGAGAATAACTCAGACATGGGCACCCGGTATGGCGGCCCAGGCTTTCATAATCCTTTTCGGCTCAGTCCAGCAAAATTTAAGCTCCTGAATGGTCGATTTCCTCACTATCTCGAAAAACACGGCAAACAGCGAGAAATCAGTTTTTGGAAACCCCTTCACAAAAAGCATCAAAGCACATCTGCCAGTGGCCGCAACGGTCTCTACGGTCCGTCACGCATCCCTCCGTGTCGATTTGGTACCGTAGAGCTACTGTTGCGGCTGCGGCATACAAAGAACAACAAAATTTGCGAGCAAGCTACACAACATGACACGTTCATCGAACGCAGCAACAGCCATCTAGTCGCGACACGGCAATACGAGAGCGACAACGGAGCCCAAACTTCACTTCTCTTTCACAGTCCCATCACACACAATACAGTCACTGATGGGTTTCCTGGTCAGCCCGGCGGTCGACCAAGTCAGCACCAGGGTACGGTCAATTCATTTTCCTCAGACGAATTGGATGTGACGCGAGCACTTGTAGGCGACCCCTGACGATCAATTATGGAGGTGGTTGCGACCGGAATCGGATGGGATGAGACACAGTAAGCGTTTCTATAATTCTAAGCTTATAGAGAAGTTGGTGGATGTGTTTTGTCTTCAAACGGCCAGGCTTGGATCCATTGACTTCTCTCCTCTTCGGTTTTCGCGTAGCGATCGAGAAAGTTCTCGCGACATCGGGCCAACCGCTCCTTAGACACGGGGTAGTTATCATGATTGACCCAACCATCCCATCCCTGATATGTGCCGATCTCGGTCAAAATCTCATGCATTAGCTCGACACCTTCGCTCCAACTCGCCTCGAGACGTTGCTGCTGCGTCCTATCCTCGGGAGTGAAGAAAAGGGGGCACGGTATGGAAGACCTAACACATGTGGCCCACTCGTCCTGAAGTCGAATGAGCATTCCCTGTAGGATTGGCTCTCCATCGCTGAAGATTGAGCTTGCCAATCCAGTAATTGGACCAGGCAGAGTGTCTCGAAAGTGCAGCGCATGAGCAATCTCCGGACATTGCTGGAGCATGAGGATTTCATAGAGCTTATAGAGAGACTGAGCAGCCCGGAGATTCTTGGCTTGGTGTTGTGCCTCCTCGCTCATATCATCAAAATCATCGGGCAGTGTTATAGGCTCAAAGCCTTCTGGTATTGGCCCTTCAAACTCGATGAGCGAAGGATGGCGTGCTTGGAGGAAGAGCGGGGAAACATTGACTGCTTGCCAGTCGATGATATTAAGGATTCCTGTCGGCTTAGAAGGGTCAACGAAGATATTGTCACTATGCAGATCAGAGTGCCATAGGGTCGGCTTTGACAGGTTAACGTTATTAGGAAGAATCTGGGTTGCGACTTTTCAGGTAATCCCAGAGGACTCTGGCCTTTCAATGCTCTGGTTGGACGGTATTGGTTAGGACCGCTGAACAGCCCTTGCTGACCAGGATACGACGAGAACTTATCGATGCACGATCGATCTCGCCAATCTACAAGCTAAAAGAAAGAGCCCCGCAGTGTACCGGTACCTGACGCTACGAACTGCTATGACCACGGTTGACGTCGACACTGTCCCCTTTCTTGAGGAGGCTAAGTTGCCGGTACATGACAAAGGGAAAATTGGATTTTTCGCTACATTGATCATCTGTATGCGAAACAAAGGTTTTTGATCGCAGCCTGTGAAAATGCGATGCTTGCTTTCAGAAAGTCCAATGTTGCGCCTGGGACAATCAGCACATGACCCGAAGTCGACGTCAACTTCAGATCATGACGGTATTATCTCTTTGAAGGGCTACCGGTATGCACCGATCGCCTTCCAGCCACGGGGTAGCTCGCGCTTTCAGTATGAGATCCCGCTAAGCGGATCGCCATATGCTTGTCCGCTTGTAGACTCTATCGACTCTGCAGAGGGTCTGGCGTATTCTTCATCTCGCACTCCAACCCAAACCATGTTGTCATGATCGCATTTAATCGAAGGAACCCAACTGACAGGTACCATTCCATTGTTGTGACAGGCCCAAGTCGTCAGAGGCTTACACAACATAGTTATGTGAACATCATGACGTACCAAGTATACCCAGGGTACTTAAGGAACACTGATGCCGAGCGGATGAACCTCATCAACGAGCATTCAAAATATACGCTCATACGTACATCACACGACTCATTTACTACCACACCCATAATCGAGCACTCAATCACCTTCCTCAACATGATGCGCTCTCAACATGAGCGCAAACGAAATTCCCCAGGGTGACGCTGTCGACAACGATTATCAGAGCCGTAGTGGTCAGCAGCAATACGGTATTCCCGTCCAGAAGGACGAAGCACCAATTGAGGACACTGAGTATGATAATGGGGGTGACTCTGATGAGCAGCTCGGTATGTTCCCCGCTACTCGTCTGAAACCTGGCTGACAATGTCGATAGCACGCGACGAGAAAGACGCCATTGATGAGACCAACATTCTCAACGAGCGTACCCGTGGCGCTACCAAAGAAAAGGGAACCTACACCGAGCCTGGTGATGAAGAAGGTCTTGGTGGTAACGATGGCACTTCCTCTGGACGCCAGTAGCCATCGTATCTATATCGCGATATTGCCATTGACCCATTGATGCCTCCATTGACATGTTGGGAGGGTCTTACGCGAACAAATTGTTCTGGTTTAATAATTATTGATTATTTATTTTGATGGGTGATATTATCCAGCGCGCGTTTTGCGGCTCCAGTACAACCAGTTGTCTTCAATATGGGTTTGACTTTTTCTCTTACAGCTTTGTTATAGCCAATAATTCTCAATATGATTCTTCGCCTTTCTCTTCATCGCAAATTTACATCATTGCAAATACTCTTTGCATTTGAATTACTTTCGACTATTTCTCTTCGAATCCCCGTTCCTGAAATCACACTCAAGTCGCTTGTCTGTGCCTTGTGTTTACATCTTCAGGCCTGATACTGCTTCACCTCCGTACGCGGCAACTTCACCACGCGTACTGAAACACACATCCGTCTTCACCTGCGCTTCCATGCATTTTCAGAAGCCGTCTGTAAGTCAAGGTGACTCTGTTTCGGCCCCACTTCTGCTGTGCAAACGGGCTCTGCAGTCGCGCATATATCAACAACTCACTCTCTCACCACAACACCAACCTCACAAGCTCCACATACACGCCCACATCATCATAAGCTCTACATACACAATAACATCTTCTCATACTCCTAACATGTCTACACCTGTTGCAGGAAAGGGCCTTGCACATCGTACGTAATAGCTAGGTGTATAACAGTGGCTATTGTCTGTCCTACAACACAGTGATAGTGCTCTGGGATACACTAAGATACGTTATGAGACACCAATTCTAACGAAATCACAGAGCGAAGGGCGCAGCAGGCGCGTCAGCAGCCCGTCTACATCTCGGGTGTGAAAGGCCAGCACTCCCTGGAGGTTGGTGTCGCGTACTTTTATCGCGGGCACCACATCTACTCGGCCGCTGCGGCCAACCCCATCGACCCGATACCTTTCTCCACTAGGAGGGGGATCTCAGTCGTGGGTGTTGCCCAGCACCTGGCGCCGCCGTATGCACCACAGGCCGCTGACTTGGTGCCAGAGGCGTCAATCAGAGCACTTCACTATAGTTACCGGCACGCACTGAAAAAGCTGGAGGAGGGGTTGAAGGCGGCGGCGGCAGATACGCTTCAAGAAGAAGCAGAGAAGAAGAAGAGTGGCGGCAAGATGCCAGTCCTGGGCACTGTCACTGCCCTAGACGACACCAGCTTCACTCCCCACGACCGCGCGCAGTATCTCGCTGCCTCCGCCCCTGGGTCCGGCCAGGTATCACCCACTAACTCTCCATTGAATTCTCGTCCAGTCTCGCCCTCCCATGCTAACGGCAGTGGCCTCCTTTGCCCTGTCGTCAGCGCTTCGCGACTGTCCAAGATGCTGGCTGGCCATGGCCTCAGACGGGCCGTGAGCCCATTGAGTGAATCGACCGAAGGTCTTGCTTACTCACCTAGGACTGCAAATTATGCTGTTCTTTACACAGAATGGTAGCTAATACTGGACAGACACCAATGTTCCGAGTCCGACTCCAGACGTGGACGAGCACGTGGGAATCTCGCTCCAAGCGCTCAGCAGGGGGGGAGCGAGACCAAGTCTCGTCGCCCGTCCACCGACAATAGCCCACGGGCTACGAATTTCCTTTCCTTCGGCAACCCCTCCAGGCCCTACAACATCTTCTCCTCCGCCCAAGCCTCCAGGGCACAGACTCCCTTCCCCAACTTCTCCCCCAGTCCCTCTCCCAGTCCCACTCTTCTCTACCTCCCTGGCCTCGGCCAAACAACCCCCCAGAACTTCCCCACCACTACAACATCCACCCGCCACCGACGTGGCTCCTCCATCGCCCGGCCCCGTGCTGCCTCCATTGCCCTCAATAACGCCTACAACGCCGCTAACCCCCACCGTCCCACACCCACCCTCGACTCCTGCCCCGAGCGCCCTACCTCCACTGCGGCGGCTCCCAAAGACACAGCCAGTAGCAACATCGCCGCCACAGAGTCCACGGACTTCGAAGAAGAAGTCCAGAAGTGCGCACTTCATGGCGATGAGTGCGATGGCGAGACAGTTACGAGTGTCCACCAGACGGAGCAGGCGAGGCGTGAGAGGGGGTTTCAAGACGTCTATCCCACGATCACGGTCGGCGGGCGAACGATGATTGACTGGGTTGAGGTAATGAGGATGGAGAAGGAGAGGATGATGGGGCAGTAGTGTGGGTGGCGTGTCATTCCTGGTTTGGTTGAGTTGGAGGGTTGGAGTATAGGTGATGGATGGATATCATCGTCTGGTGGAAAGTTGGATTATTGTGGTTGACTTTAGGTTTTCGTGGTATATGGAGTTGGACTGATGAGTGTATACGAATTTTATGACACGATTGGATGGACATGGTGATGTGAAAGTGATGACATCTGATAATTAGGCTCGCAACGACTATAATTGTCGTGTGGCAAGATTACGCACGAGGGTATATATGTATGATATAAGAAAGTAACGCTGGATGACATAATGAAACACACCGAGTGCTCACCCGTCAGTGGCTGCCTTCTTTCGTCCTCTCTTTGTTGGTGCCTTTGCCTTTCCGTTGGCTGGAGCTGCCTTTTTGGTGCCCTTCTTCTTTGCTTTGGGGACCTCTTTTTCTTCTGCCTCTGCATCCTCTTCCTGCTCGGGTTCCTCCTCAGGGCTCTCGGCTCTTACGGCTGCCTTTTTGCCTCGAGCCTTCTTTGGTGCGGGAGCCTCATCTTCATCGCTCTCCTCTTTGTACTCGACCTTCTTGCCTCGTCCACGAGCAGCCTTCTTGGCAGGAGGTGCGTCTGCTTCTTCGTCTTCGTCTACTTCTTTCTTGGCCGGGCGGCCGCGCTTCTTGGTGGGTTTGGGGGCCTCTTCAGCAACTTCAGCGTCGTCTTCGGTTCTGGCTTTAGGCTTGGCTTTGGTTGCTGGTTTCTTCTTGGGCTTCTCCTCGTCTTTCTCTTCGGCCTGATTGGCTTCGTCTTCGTCATCGCCACCCTTCTTGGCCTTCTTCTTGGATGCGCCCTTCTTAGAGCCCTTCTTTGTTAAGCGGTTCGCTTCAGGATCCTGATTCCTCGTTAGTGATAGGTCGTGTTAGATAACAGAATACATGTGGCCGAAGCAAATATAAGTATGAGCAAACGCAGATTATGGTGTCTGGCAAACAAATAGTTTTCAGACAAGAGAGAGAGAGAGAGAGAGGTATAACGTATCGAATGAACATACACCTTTCCAGTCATCGTCATGGACATGACCATTTTCCATTGCGTACTTGACCCTCTCCTGGTGTTCCTCCGGCAATTCGTCGAAGCCGTCGACCATATCGGTGTCGCCACCACAAGTCTCGATCAAGTTTTCGATCTGCTTGGGTGTCACACATCCCCTACGACAGTCAGCTCGGATGGGATTCGCACGAGGTCAGTCTAACATACCAATGACGCCACTGCCAACTCTGATGATCCTTGATGGTGATTTGAACTGCAAAGCGAAGTTCACCTTTGGTAATCTTGATATGAGCATCCTTGCATGCCTTAGTTTGACAGCCAGCACGGTTGTTTGGTGACACCTCTATGATGCTTGTCAGCTCAAAATCCACGTCTAAATAATAATCGCTTCTGCTTCAAACGCAAGAGGTCGTTGGTCACACTTACCCACACGATATACACCCATCTTGGTATGACTGCCGGGTTGGGCGGGTAAAGAGGGAATGAAATTGAAAATCTGACAAAAGAACGACTCTGTTGTGTATGCACGCGTCCAGTCTGAGTCACCTGCTGGATGGATGTCGCTGCCTGCTTGAGATAGAGTATCGCGGCGCGGCTGACGCGAGATGGATTGTTCGACGCGTGAGGTCAGAGGGAGCGGCTCTACTTACTCTGTTCAGGCAGGCAGTCAGGGTCCACCTGGGACAAGCTCGGGCCGTCCTCCCCCGCTAGCTCGCTGTAAGGCTGTTCGCATCATAGACGACATGTAGGGAAACGAGCAATTCACTCTTCCCACCACACGCTAACTCCCAATGAGTGCTGCACATGCATGTTTCCGCAGCGCCCTAGTACATGCATTTCGACCGTCTAATCATGGAGTCGCCGCTTCGTCTTCCGTTCCAGCTTTCCTAGTTCCAGCTCTTGCTTCATCGTCTTCGCAGCATCTCCCCAAGAAACCCAACGCCAAAGCTCAACACCGACACGTGCATACCTCAGCGGACCACTTCAGAGACCCAAGACAAAGATTCTTTCTCTCACGTCCCACCCGGGAGCCAGTTCAATCCCAAATACCGATTCCACAGGATGAATCTCGTAGCCAAATGGAGACCTGGCTCGCAGCCATTGAGCCTTTCCTTCCTGTCTCGGCACGCCGTCAACCTTCCAGCGACCCCGATTTATCATCTTCATTGACGCCTCTCGATCTTGCTGTCTATTTGAAAAAGGCTCAGGATGCTTCGATGGATGTCATTAGTCATCTGGGGCTGGTGGAAGGGCGCTGGCAAGCGGTAGTGTGGATTGCGAAGAAGCTGGTTGAGCTTGGTCGACGCTCAGTAGAGTCTCCATTGCATTTGAACGCTTTCGAACACATCTTGGGGTCTCCCGATGGCGGCGGTGCATCATTGAAGACTCTGACCGAATCTTCAATTTGCATCGAACGGCATGCAACTCCGCGGAAGCTCAGACACTCTCTCGATGATGTAACTTCAGCCCCAGATACGATTGAAATGCGGAATGTCGTTGTAAAAAGGGGATTAGGCCAATTGTGGCGGAGTTTGGGCAATCTGATTCTAGCTGCTGCGGAGAAAAATAGTACCGATGGAGACACCATTATGCCACATGTGCTAGAGATCATCGCATACCTGCATCACGTTGGCTTCATGCCTGAATCCGTCTACTCATATAGGCCCCGGAGCAACGAGTACGCACTGCAACAGCCGCCAACACTACACATACTATCTTCGAAGATTCTTACCGCGCTGTCAGACGCGGCTTGGAAGGCTCACGAGTCTTCGGTCAAGCTGGCAAAAGAAGGTTCCAAAGTCTCCTACTTTCTCGGCCATGAGATACCCGGCTCCCGTTACAAGATCGAGGTTAGCGAGGTAACACCAGAACTGTGGCTAGAGCTAGTTCTGTGGACATGTCTACACGGTGGATGGATATTAGATGGCGCCGCGATTCTAAGGCAGGTGGCGGTCAAGCGAGGAGATCACAACTGGACTCTCATAAGTTGGAGAGAAATCATACAAGCAGAAAAGGACGAAACCCCGGCGCCGTCGCGAAAGTGGAATTTATTCCCACAAAATCAGGATGCTACCGCTACGCCATTAGACCGAGCACGGACACGCAGAACCATCAGTGGTGAAGTCGTCTCAGCATTTGTGGACGCGTTGGTGAATCAAATGCGAGTGGGTGTTGGAGGTAGAGGCACCGATCCGGAGAACGTAGCGGACTTACTAAAGATATTTAAAGACTTCCTCGACGCTCATAATCTGGGTCTAGGAACCACGGCATGGGATTCAGTAATGGCAAGACTTGTAGAATCAGGTGGTCTTGACCCTGAAAAGCGTCCAGAGCTCCTTATGCAGATCGTGGGGCTGGCCCCTGGCTTTGGCACAGAGGTGACTGCTACTAATTCTTCTACCTCTGCTGAGACTGAAGTACCACCCTTCTTCGAGCCAACTACAATACCACTCAGCTTTTTGCACAGGACGATTCGAGCTTATGTAGGCATTGGAGATATCAAGGGCGCCATGACAACATTGATGCTTTTACAGCGTCATACGGATGATAACAAACAGAAGTCTGTACAGCAATTTTTTGAAGTGTTGCAAAACACCTTCCGGGTGCGTCAAGACGAGCCGTTCAGTAGTAGGCTTCCTCCAGTCGACTTCCCAGCCTTCGACACCAGGCTACCAGTTCCTTTACTAGCGCGACTGTTGGATTTGGCAACGGAATCAAAGTTGTACGATATTGGTCGTTGGCTACTGTTTTCAGAAGATATTGATGGCCCGCTCATCAGTCCAGAACTGCGCAGTCACCGTAACCTAGCTGCTTCAGTGGTACGTTTCGGGACTCTTGCAGGAGAGAATCAACTTGTATTGGACATCATCAAGACAGTTGGGACATATTATCCAATGCAAAAGCAGCCACGCATGCCTGCTGAGGTGCTGATAGCATTGCTTTGCTGTCAGCTCAAGCTTCACCGGTGGGAGTCTGTTCAAGGAATGCAGAGATATGTGAATGAGAGTTCGACATTCAAGCCACGGCCTGTCATCTTCTCCACATTCGCTGCAGAACTCCTTCGCACAGCCATTGACAGCAATGAAGCCAAGGAGCAAGCCAAGGAAGCATTTTCCGGTTTGCTCTTCGCATGGGAGCAACTTTGCATGGACAACATGCGTAACGAACTGTATTGCATTCTTTCCATCATGTCCACTGTGGACAGCGAATGGCGCGACTATTGCTCTCGCTTCCTAGCGGTCTCATGGCATCAGACTATCGAATTGTCCACTGAAGACTTCAACCGCATGCTAGGAGGTGTGCTCGATGGCTATGGCAGTTTCAGGGGCAAACAAATGGTTGAGCAATGGTGCTACCAGACACGATCTTGGTTCGAGGCATATCGGGCTCCCGGTGGTTTACCGACCATGCCTCGATACCGCGTCGGAAAAGGTCAGCAGCTAAAGAAGCTCCCGCCGAACATTCAACTCGTGCAGAGTTCGGGTGCCAAACTCATTTTGCAGGGACGCATCCTTCCCAATCGACTCACCATCCTGGTTATTCTACGCAAAATCCAGGAGGAGGTGACGTCGTGGCAACAAGGCGGCAGTGAAAAGTATGTCCAAGTCAAGCGCGCAGAGATACGCGATACGCTGCAGTGGGCGGTGCGCATGCTTTGGTACATGGGATATTGATTCTGGGGAGATTTTAACAGAACTGGAAAGCAACAATCCTTTTTAAACCTGCATAAATGGAGACCACTTGCCTCC